CTTGAGCTGAAGAGCTGAGGGACAGCGCCCAGGCCCAGAGTTCAAGCCCCACGACTGACAAAAAAAAAAAGAAAGTGGAGCTGTGGCTCAACTGGTGAAGCACCAGCCTTGAGTAAAAAAAGCTCAGGGACAGCACTTAGGTCCTGAGTTTTTAAGCCCTGGAACTTACACAAACACAAAAATATCTTTGTTACATGGTTTTATGAAACGGCTCATCTTTAAACTACATTAATGCATACACAAATGCATACATACATATGGTGTCCATATTGGTGCTGGAACTTGGTACCTTGAACTCCTGGCTTTTTCACTCATAGCTGGTGCCTGTCCCACTTAAACCATACCTCCAGTTGTGGGCTTTTGCTGATTAATGGGGGATAAGACAAATTTAGTCAGCTTTGAACTTCAGTCCTCCGGTAGGCCTCCTGAATAGCTAGGATTATAGGCTTAGCTACCTGTACCTGGCTTAAACTACTTCCTACAAAGATGTTTATATGTTTCTTTAATTCTAGAACTTTTTTTGGTTGGTTGGTTGTGGGGCTTGAACTCTAGGCTTGGGCGCTGTTCCTCAGCTCTTCAGCTCAAGGTGAGCATTCTGCCACTTGAGCCACAGCGCCACTTCTGATTTTCTAGTGGTTTATTGGAGATAAAGAGTCTCACGGACTTCCCTTGAGAAGTAGGGGGGAGCTGGCTTTGAACTATGATCCTCAGATCTCAGACTGCTGAGTATCTATCTATCTAGGATTACCGGTGTGAGCCACCAGCACCTGGCATTTTGTTGTTGTGGAAGGTTTAGTTGGGATTTATTTTAGTGTAACAGGGTTAAAGTAGGGAGAAATACAAAAAGAGAAACATTTCTCTCCCACCTCACAGGATATAGGAATTAAAGACTCCCAGTTTTATTTCTAGAGAAACTAAGTTTAAGCTTTAGTACTTAATTCAGTCTAAAAGACTGATGTTGGTTAAAGACTAAATTTTAATTTAATATTTAGTAAATACTTCTAGTTTATTTTTTTAGCACAGTGAAGAAGCATGAAAGCTTAGTGGAAAAAAAAGATTTTTTTTAAAATTCTAGTGAAATTAACTGAAACTTGCCTGAATATACTATAATTGTTGTGAATACTAAGACATTGTTTTATTGAAAATGTACTACATTTATTTAAAAAAATTTTTTTGACGTCTTCAGCTCAAGGCCAGTGCTCTACCACTTAGCCACAGTGCCACTTTTGGCTTTTTGATTGTTAATTGGAGATAAGAGTCTCACTTTCCTGCCAGGGCTTGCTTTGAACTGTGATACTCAGATTTCAGTCTCCTGAGTATCTGAGTAGCTAGGATTACAGGCATGAGCCACCTGCACCTGGCACCTTTTTTTTTGTTGATTGTAGGGCTTGAACTTGGGGGCCTGGGTGCTGTCTCTGAGCTCAAGGCAAATGCTTTACCTACCACTTGAGCCATAGCACCACTTTGAATTGTTTTTGTTGTATATTCAGTGCTTAGTATGAAAGAACTGCAGTCATAGACTGTACAGTTTTTTAGAATGTTACTTTCATTTAGGTTAAGGGTACTTAGCTCATGTTTTTATTGACAAGTAATTTTTTAATGATTTTCCTATGAAAATAGGGTTAGGATTTCTATAGGTGGAAATAATGGAGGAAATATATGTGGTTTGCCTACATACTTTTATGTCTTTGTGTTGAAAATATCTGTCCCATTTTGTTTATTTTGAGAGATCAGTACTCTTGTTTGTTTGTTTTTTTGGGGGGGGGTTCCGGTCCTGGGGCCTGAACTCTAGGCCTGGGCACGGTCCCTCAGCTCTTCAGCTCAAGGCTAGCACTCTACCACTTGAACCACAGCGCCACTTCTGGCTTTTTTTTTATGTGGTGCTGAGGAATTGAACCCAGGGCCTCATGCATGCAAGGCAAGCACTCTACCACTGAGCCACCTTCCCAGCCCCAAGAGATCAGTACTCTTTTGAGTGTATTTGGTCCTTTTCTCTAACCAGTAAATGGACTTTCATACATAAGGCCATGGTGGAAATGTACACTGTCTCTGCTTGTTCTTCACCAAAATCTAGAAATAATGGGTAAAGAAATACTTAGGGAAACCTTTTTTTCTCTTTCCTATGTATCGTTGCAGTATTTGTGCAGTTAAAAAAGACCAAAATCTGGCTAGGTTGCTTATGCCTGAGGTTGATGTGAGTGAGGATCACAGTTCAAAGCCATCATGGTCAAGAAAGTCCTTGAGACTCTTACCTCCAATTAACTATGCTAGAAAGTCAGATGTGGAATTGTGGCTTATGTGGTAGAGTGCTAACTTTGAGCACAAAAGCTCAGAGACAGTTATAGAGGCCTTGTTCAAGGCTCCTTGGCTGCGCACACACACACAAAGAAAAATCTTAACTTCCCTGTATCATTGATGTTTTCTTTTGTCCTGCTGTGTTGATTTTTCTGGTAATGTTGCTTTTCATATGATTGTTCTCCCTCCCTTTCTCCTTGCAATAGATTCCTAAAGGAAAATCCAACTCTTCCTTTCCTAAAATCTACTTTGTAAGTCATTATCATGGCACAGTGAATTCTGCTTTTAGTTTTGGTTCTTCACTAATCATGCCTGCATATTATCATCCCGTTGCTTACAAAACTGCCTGTTCTACATTCCAAGGTGCTAAAAACTTTCTAAAACATCAATGGCCTGCTACCCTGCCTTTGTCTATTTGGGTGTGACTTGTGTGAAGATGTATTTATGTGATTTTCGTGCCAAAGTTACTTGGGACTTTTGCCACATATAATGGTTGCTTAGGAGTGAATTAGTGTGTTATAGTGCTATATTGTAGCTTATTGTGGCAGTGTATTCCTGTTGAAAGTCTTTTGAGAGTGAATGATGTGTTCTTAGCCTGAATCTATTATTGTTCTTTGGGGAACACTTGGTGTCTTTCTTTCCTTCATAAATGGTTGTTTTTGTCTTTGCATGTCTCTGTATTGTAAGTTAGAAATGAGTGCTTTAACTTTTTAAGAGTCATATTAATCTAAATATATGTGTCACAGAAGTAATTTTAAAACTATCTTTACTTAATCCTTAATGCTATGACATTTCCTGCTTGTAACACCAAGATACTTAGATTGCTTGAAAGCTGGCTTCAGTGTATTTCACATTTAGGAAGCCAGTCTTAGTGTTGAACATCCCAATTGAATAATTTAACAGGCATTATGAATGAATTGGGTAGGTTGTCAGCTGAACTCTTACATGATTGTTGGGCTTATTTTAAATTTTTTCTTAAATTTGTGGTTTAGCACTTACTGTGTATGTGTATTATTTTTTATGCAGTGCAGAGATTGGAGCACAGAGCCTTGTGCATGCTAAATACATACTCTAACTCTGAGCTCTTTTCCCAACTCCTGGTTAATTTATTTATTTTGATTCAAACTAGTAACTACAAGGAATTGTTAAGTGTGGTGCAAGTACAAGAAAGACTATGATTTTTACCTGTTTTACTATCTTAGCAAAGGCCTTTGCATGCTTCATTTCGGCTGCTTTGGTTAATGCTTATTAGCAGGTAGAAGACCCTCCAAAGATTGGCTTTTTGTTGCATGTCCTAGTGTGGTTGAAATTCCCTAGGCTAGTTACTTGTTAAATTCAAAGAGAAAAGAGAGAGAGCATGAGAAAACTGGTCCAAATGCTCTTCTTTAATAACCTCAATGGTCTGGTTTACTTTAAGCATGCTGTTTCCTTCTGAAATGAGAAATCTGGTTTGAGTTTGCTATATGGTAGGTCAAAAAACAAAATATTAAATGTTCATTTACAACAGCAGGATACATAGAAACTCCTGTGCAGCACTTTACTAATCAGTTCAATTTTATTGAAGCATTTCTTATAATGAGCTTGTAAGTAAATTAGATTTTGTTCAAACAAAAAACCAGAAACTTGGTTCTTGAGGAGGTTATTGAAAAGGGTATCTGATCCAGGATCTACATGAAAGCTTGAAAATCATTTTAAGAATATGGATACCCTGGCTGTGTACTTTAAAGAGCTTATTTAGCATCAGTTTTTGGTTTTTGACTTGATATATATCAGGATTGTGATCAGCAGGCCTTCTTGGTTTAAGCATCTCAGATGTCAAGGATGATTGAAGTTCTTTGCCTGTCTGTATTTAATAGCAATTTAGCCAAAAGAAGAAATCTTCATGCTTTCAGAACATCTATATGACTACTATAGCTTAATAGTCAAGTCTGATGGAATTTTGTCTTCCTCCTCACAGGTGAAGAGCAGAATAAGGAAGCGCTGCAGGATGTGGAAGATGAAAATCAGTGAGACATAAAAGCCAACAAGAGAAACCATCTCTGACCACCCCACTCCTCCCCACCCTGCCCTTGGAAAGTCCCCATTGTCACTGAGAACCATGAAATCTGACTTTCACATTTGGTCTCAGAATTTAGGTTCCTGCCCTGTTGGTTTTTTTTTTTTTTTTAAACAGTTTTCAAAAGTTCTTAAAGGCAAGAGTGAATTTCTGTGGATTTTACTGGTCCCAGCTTTTAGGTTCTTTAAGACACTAACAGGACTGTGTAGAGGCTTTTTCAGCATTACTGTACTGTCTCCATGCCAGGTGTGGCAAGATCATTAGAAATGGAAATTCCATTTGAAAGCCATTAGACTTCTAGGTGATGCATCTTATAAAAGAGATTGATCACACTATAGAGGCATATGTGAATCATTTTTCCTTTTTCTAATTGTTTAAATCGAATTTTATACCAATGTTTAAATTTAATTGGGCGTTAACTTGAAGTGGTTAAAGATTGTTTTGGGGGGAGTTTGTTGCAATGGTTTTGCTGTAAAAAGTGTTTCAAACTCTGCTGAAGTGTTGGCTGAAAAGTTGAGTGCTGGTAACAGTTCAACAGTCCGTGGCTGCTCATTCTTGCCTACTTTTTCTCTCCCTCCGAAGCAGGTTAGCATTGAAGGTGGTATGGAGAAGCCTGCATGCGTGTTCAGTTCTTTGTTTCTTCTTCCCTCTCCCCTCTTTCCCTCCCTCTCTCCCTCTTTCTCTTTCCCTCCTTCCTTCCCTCCCTCCCCTCCTTCCCTTCCTTCCTCCCTTCTTTCCTTCGCTCGCTCAACCTCTTTTGTTCAGTATGTGTAACTTGAAGCTAATTTGTACTACTGGATATCTGACTGGAGCCACAGATACAGAATCTGTATTGTTCTTACTGAAACACAGCATGGAATTAACATTAAACTTAAATAAAACAAACCTAAATGAAAAATGCCAAATACATTGCGCCTCCATCCTTTATACTTCTAAAATAAAATCTCTAGTCCAAACATATTGACAGTATTATGTTTGTCTGAATGTGAAAGATATACCCCGTTCCAAAAATCATTTGTGTTTCCTCAAGATGTATATTTTGGAAAAAAAGAAAAAAACATTGCTTGTAATCTGGTTGTGAAGAATACTGAGTAATTTAAGTCAGTCTATTACATGTCCTGTTTTCCAAGCCAGTTAACACAGTATTTATGTTAATCATTAAAGTATAACATGTGTATTTAACACAGGTGTAATTATGAATCATTTTCTGCCATGGAGTTTTGGGTGCAACCAATCAGGCTGAATTCTTGGGCTGAAGTAAAATGGTATATTCCCAGAAAATACTGAAGTCCATTCCCAGTGTTCCTTCTTACCAGAAATGTATGCATAAGTAGTTTCTTCCAGAGTTAGTTTATGTATCACCATGTGCATACTTGCTTTATGTCTCCTATACTGGTCTTATGTTAACATGGACATACACCTGAAGTTTGCAAAGCCAGTTTACTTTTGAACAAGTTCTTTCTTTGCTGTAGTAAATACTCAATATTTCTGTTTAATTGAATTTTGTGTGTGTAAGGTACAGGTATTGCATGTCAGAAAATATTTTCCTCTCTGGGAATGGGAAGGGAACACAGTATTCAGTTGGTAAGTGTTTCTTCTCCACACTTGACTATTTTTGTCAGTCATGGGACCTAAATTCTGGGCCTCGGCACTGACCCTGAGCTCTTCAGCTCAAGGGTAGTGCTCTGCTGCTTGAGCCACAGTTCCACTTCTGGCTTTTTCTGCTTATGTCGTGCTGAGGAGTCAAACCCAGGGCCTCATGCATGCATTCAAGGCAAGCACTCTACCACTGAACCACCTTCCCAGCCCCACACTTGACTTTTTTAAATGGCATGAACAAATATAGTCCAGGTTTGAGATCCTAGTAGCCTAGAAAAATTGTAAAAGATCCAACCGGTGAGTGGTTTTGTAGGTTTTATCGTCAGTTGTGTAAGCCGTTTGAAGAATGTTTTTGAGAATTGTCTTTTCACCATAGAGCTGGAAACAGTTGTATTAAGATTCTTCGGTTAACTTCTGTGTGTAGCCATTTAAGGCCAGAATTGAAGAGATTTGTAAATTTGTGAACTAATACTAAGCCTTTGGTCCCTTAGTTTTTCTCTCAGGGTTAGCACTTTACCACTTGAGCCAGAGCTCCATTTCCAGCTTCTTGCTGGTTGCTTGGAGATGAGTCTCAGACTCACTTGCCTAGGCTAGCTTCAAACCTTGATCCTCATATCTCAGTGTCATAAGAAGCTAGAATTACAAGCGTGAGCTACCAGTACCTGGCTGTGGCAGTTTTAAACCATTTACAGAAGGCAAAGTATTTTAGACTTGTGCCACACTGAACACTAATGCCTGATGCGTAGACTTGAAAGATGTAAGCTCAGCTGTGATGGTTCACACCTGTGGTTTCTGGCTTAGTTCTCTTGACTCTTGAGCTGTGAGCTACCATATGTTGGTGGAAATACTGGAAATAACATTGATAAGTAGTTGGGCACTGGTGGCTCAAACCTGTAATCCTAGCTAGTTAGGAGGCTGGGATCTGAGTATCACAGTTCGAAATCAGTCTGGGCCAAGTCCCCATTAGGCTGTCTCCAAATAACTAAAAAACTGGAAGTGGCACTGTGGCTCAAAAGTAGTAGAGCGCTAGCCTTGAGCAAAAAAACTTGGGGACAGTGCCCAGGCCATGAGTTCAAGCCCCATGATTGATCAAAAAAATAACTGCTTTGAGGATCACCCTTTATTGGCTCTCATAATCTGCTCACTGTTGTAGATACAGGTACAGGCCTAAAGGAGGGCAGAAAATTGGTTTTTCTTTAAAGAGAATTTGCTCCTTGATGGTAGATTTCTAGATTCCCAAAGGTTCTCTGTGTGTATTTGTACTACTTGGGCAGGGTCAGCCATGTTCGGGAACATTCTTTTCCGTCTTGATTTATCCTTTGAGATTTTGTAGTTAGGCAGCAACTCCCAGCATTCCCTGGACACTCATGCCTCTGAGCTGTAGGTGGTTTACAGGTTTCCTACAAAGATCTTTTTGATGTTGAAGGATTGATTAGTTTGACTCACTTCAGCCCCTAAATTGCCCTCTCCAGTAATGGCACATCTATAGTTGTAAATACCTACTTAGAATTTGGTTTTAATGTAATTTTGGTGGGGGGAGGGGAGGTTGGTCGGGGCTCTGTCCCTCAGCTCTTCAGCTTAAGGTGAGCACTCTACCACTTGAGCCATAGAGCCACTTCTGGTTTTCTGCTGGTTTATTGGAGATTAAGAGTCTTTCCTTCCTGGGCTGGCTTTGAACCCTGATCTCATCCTCCTGACTAGCTAGGATTACAGGTGCAAGCCACTGGCTCCTGCCTTTATATAAACTTAAGAACAAAAGAAGAAAATGGGTGTGATAGCTCAATCCTGTAATCCTAGTTACTTGGGAAGCAGAAATCCAAAGATTGCTGTCTTGAGCCTATCTTAAAAAAATAACACCAAATGCAGGGCACAGTGGTGCACCCCTATCCTCCCGACAATGTGAGGAATAATCGTAGTCCAGGCTGGCCCAGATGTGAGGTTCTATCTCAAAAATAACCAGCACATAGGACTGGAGAGGTGGCTCAGTGGTAGAGCGCTTGCCTTGCATGCCTGAGGCCCTGGGTTCGATTCCTCAGCACCACATAAGCAAAAAGGAAGAAAAGCCAGGCCCCCTGACCAGACACCCCCCCCAAAAAAAATAGCCAGCACAGAAAGGTATGGTGGGGTGGCTTAAGGTAGAACACCTGCCTAGCAAGGGTAGGTCCATAAATTCAAGCTTGCATACTCCTGGCTCAGATTGTGGCTCAGTGGTAGAATGCTTGCCTAGTATGCATCGAACCCTGGGTTCAATTCTTCAGTAGCACATAAACAAAAAAATACTTTTTTTTGTCTTGTCGATTGTGGGGCTTGAACTCTCTGGGCCTGGGTGCTGTCCCTCAGCTCTTCAGCTCAAGGGTAGCGCTCTACCACTTGAGCCACAGCACCACTTCGGGCTCTTTCTATCTTTCTACTTACATAATGCATGCGAAGCAAGCACTCTACCACTGAGCCACCTTCCCAGCCCCAAAATGTATTTTGTTGTTCGTCACGGGGCTTAAACTTACCCTGGGGCTGTCCCTGAGTTCTTCAGCTCCAGGTGAGCATTATATCACTTGAGCTGCAGCGCCACAGCGCCACTTCCGGTTTTCTGGTGGTATATTGTAGGTAAGAATCTCATGGATTTTCCTGCCTGGGCTGGCTTTGAACTGCAATCCTTAGATCTTAGCCACCTGAGTAGCTAGGATTACAGGTGTGAGCCAGTGGTGCCCAGCTTGAAAAAAAAGCAAAATGCAGTGCTGGGAAGGTGGCTCAATAGCGCTTGCCTTGCATGCTTGAGGCCCTGGGTTCAATCCCTCAGCAACACATACACAGTAAAAGCTGGAAGTGGCGCTGTGGCTCAAGTGGTAGAGTACTAGCCTTGAGCTGAAGAGCTGAGGGACAGTGCCCAGGCCCAGAGTTCAGGCCCCACGACCAGACACCCCCCCCCGGCCCTCCCCTCCCCCCCGAAAAAAAAAGCAAAATGCAAACATGTTTCTCTGGCTTAACTGCACTGTGTATTTAAAATATAAAATATTAAAAAGTAATAAGAAATTCAGACTTGACTATTCCTCTACCAGAAAAATGATTAGTAAAATCTTAACCATTAAGGAGATGTAAAAGCTCATATCTATAATACTAGTATTCAGAAGGCTGACATCTGTGGATTTCTGTTTGAAAGCTACTCAGGCCAGGCAATCCTGTGAGATTATTGTCCATTAACTAGCAAATAGCTAAAACTCGGGGTGTCCTAGAGAGTAACCATTGCTTTTGGGGGGAGGAGATAAGGAAAGATTCTGGCTTGCTTTTCTATTTTAATTAGCCCATTTCTCCAGTAAAACAATGTTGAAAAGAGATCAGCTGTAATCCTGCTTACTCTGAGCAGAGATCTGAAGGTCATAGTTTGACACCAGCCGGGGCAGGAAAGTCTAAAAGATACTTAACCTCCAATTAACTGTTTAGAGAAAGCTAGAAGTGGAACTGTGGCTCAAGCTGTAGAGTGCTATCTAGCCTAGAACAAAAGAAGCACAAGGACAATGCCCAAGCCCTGAGTTCAAGCCCAGTAAATTCTAGCCATAATTGTAAAATCTGAGTGAGAGCAATAAACCTTTGAGCTCAGGACCAAAACAGAACAAGGAGATGGAAGATAAAATTGTTAAGAAATGCTAATTGTGCTTTATGAAAATGTAGAGAAATGGTCCTATGTGTATGCCGTTGATGTTTTACTTTTTCTTTTTTTCTTTTTCTTTTGCCAGTCCTGGGGCCTGAACTCAGGGCCTGGGCGCTGTCCCTCAGCTCTTCAGCTCAAGGCTAGAACCCTACCACTAGAGCCACAGTGCCCCTTCCAGCTTTTTCTGCTTATGTGGTGCTGAGGAATCTAACCCAGGGCCTCATGCATGCAAGGCAAACACTCTACCACTGAGCTACCTTCCCAGGCCTAGAGTGCTAATCTTGAGCAGAAAGCTTAGAGTGCCAAGGCCCCAAACTCAAGCCCCAGGACACACACACACACACACACACACACACACACACACACACGTAAACATTCTTGGACGTTTTGGTATGCATTTATGTTGTATGTATATTAAAGGAATTAAGTGGGTGGTGGGAGGTAGTGCTCTGCCACTTGAGCCACAGTGCCACTTCCTCTGGCTTTCTGGTGGTTTATTGGAGATAGTCTCATAGTCTTTCCTGCCTGGGCTGGCTTTGAACCGTGATCCTCAGATCTCAGCTTCCTGAGTAGCTAGGATTACAGGCGTAAGCCACTGGTACTTGGCACAGCCATTCTTTTATGTGTGTAAATGGATTTAATTCAAGATTTGATTTGGTAACATTTAATTTCCTTGATGACTTTTTAATATGTTGAAATATTCCTCTTTGTTAGATATCCACTTGATTATTTTGGTTAGGTGGTCATTTTCTTTCTGATCTGTAGGAGGAGGTGTTTTAGGAACAGTCTGCTTTTGGAGTTGTAATTGCTACTATCACTTTTTTTTTTTTTGGTCCAGTTATGGGGCCTGAACTCTGGGCTTGGGCGCTGTCCCTCAGCTCTTCAGCTCAAGGCTAGCGCTCCACCACTTGAGCCACAGCGCCACTTCCACCTTTTTTTTTATGTGGTGCTGAGGAATCGAACCCAGGGCCTCAGGCATGCAAGGCAAGCGCTCTACCACTGAGTCACCTTCCCAGCCCTCACTCTGTTTTAATATACTTTTTTCTTTCCTCTTACTTGAGCAAAGGAGCTCAAACCCAGGACCTCAGGAATGTTAATCAAGCAAGTCTTTCCTTTGAGGTAAGTGCTATGCCTATGTTACATGCAGAAGGTTTTGCACAATGAGACCCTGTCTCAAATAAAAGAAAGGGTTCCTATCTAGACCTAGAATTAGGCAGAATCTGTTTCGTGTATGGTGTGATAGAAATATTAAAAACTTTTTAATGGCACTGGCGGCTCAACTCCTTTAATCCTATTTAGGAGGTTGAGACAGGTAGAATCACAACTCAAAGCCAGCCTGTGCAGAAAAGTCTGTGTGTGTGTGTGTGTGTGTGTGTGCACGTGCATGTGTTCATGCTAGTCCTAGGGCTTGAACTCGGCTGGCCTGGGCACTATTCCTGACCTGCTTTTGCAGAAGGCTAGCACTCTACCACTTGAGCCACAGTGCCATTTCTGGCTTTTTCTTTTTTTTGTTGGTCGTGGGGTCTGAACTCTGGGCCTGGGCGCTGTCCCCTCAGTTCTTCTGCGCAAGGTTAGTGCTCTACCACTTGAGACAAGCACCACTTTTGGCTTTTTCTGCTTCTGTGGTGCTAAGAAATCGAACCCAGGGCCTCATGCATGCAAGGCAAACACTCTACCACTGAGCCACCTTCCCAGCCCAGCCCACCCCACCTGCCCCCGGCTTTTCCTTTTTTTTTGTTGAGTCCAGTCATGGGGCCTGAACTCTGGGTCTGGGCGCTGTCCCTGAGCTCTTCAGCTCAAGGCTAGTGCTCTACCACTTGAGCCACAGTGCCCATGAGTCCAATTTACTCAAAAACTGGAAGTAGAGCTGGGGATCAAAGTGGTAGAGCACCAGCCTTGAACACAAAAGAGCTCAGGGACAGCACCCAAGTACAAGGACAGTGCCCAAGCCCAGAATTCAAGCCCCACAACCAACAATAACAAATGGAGAAATGGCTAGTTTGGCACTGTTGGCTCATCATTGTAATCGTAGGTACTCAGGCAGAGATCTGAAGGATTGAGGTTTGAAAGTAGCCTGGAAGACCAGTGTGAGACTCCCATCTCCAAAATGACAGAGGGAAAAGCTGGCTGGAGTCACAGGCTTGAGTCGTAGAGTGCAGCTGTGATTTACAAAAAAGCTGAGAGCACAAAGCCTGGAGTTCAAATCCTGATACTGGGAAAAGTTGCAGCCATAGCTCCCTGACCTTAGAGGGGCCATGTGGAAATCATGGGCTCCGTGTGAGCCGTTGGGTCGTTTCCTTGTTTTGGTGTTTGTTTTTAGTGATTGGCTGTTCTTTGCTGTTGAGATGGTTTCTGAGTATCAGGACACTGCTTTTTGGCATCTATCCCTTTTCTTTGGATGGCACTCGTCTTTTGCTGCTGGCTTGGGGACTTGGTGTGAAAGCAGTGTGTGACTGTCTTGTCCCCAACTATGGTTTCAAGTGTCATTGTCACTCCTCCCCCTTGACCCAAGGAGGAGTCAACTTCAATCGACTCATTTCTCTCCTAAAAATCTGAGCTAAGGGGCCCTGACAATGTTCCTAGGTGGCCGTGGAGAGGCAGACTGAAAAGCCACTGAGCCATCACTGTGTACTGACAGATCACAGACCGTGACTCCTCACTCCCCTTCATGACCGCAGGGACCACATCTGTCTGGTTTGTCCCCTACCGGGCCCAAGCCAGAGCCAAACAGAGCAGGCTTCCAGTAAGAATTTATTTAACAAGTGGATTAAATCTGTTAACAAATATACGTAGGGAGCACCCAGGCCCAGAGTTCAAGCCCCATGGTGGACAAAAACAACAGATAATTCCTAGTTACCTGTCTGGTTATCCCAGAGTTGAAACCACAGTTAAGCACAGAGCAGGACAGCAGCAAGAATTTCTTGAACAAGTGGATAAAATCTGCTGGCCAGACATTTGCAGAGAGCCAAAGCAGTGTGTCTGAGGCACTGGTTCAGATGGTGCTGGACCCAGACCCAGATAAGCTGCTATAACTTCAGTGCCATCAGCGGAAAAAAGGGAAAAGCAGTTGTGCTGAATGAAGGGTCATTCAGCCCAATTTAAAAAAAAAAAAAGTGTTGTGGCTGGGAAGGTGGCTCCGTGGTAGAGTGCTTGCCTTGCATGCATGAGGCAAAAAGAAAAAAGCCGGAAGTGGTGCTGTGGCTCAAGTGGTAGAGCGCTAGCCTTGAGCTGAAGAGCTGAGGGACAGCACCCAGGCCCAGAGTTCAGGCCCCACAACTGGACCCCCCCAAAAAAAATGTTGCCTTTTGTCACAATGTAGATAGGCCTGGAGGACACTATGCTAATGAACTAAGCCAGTTACACTGGCTTATGCTGACAGACACGGCTTCATTTGAAGGATTTGTAATAATCAGACTTTCCAAAGCCAAGATTACAGTGGTGCTTGTGTGAGGGGTGGGGAAAATGGTATATAGTGTCCTTTCTGCTGATTTATTCCAGAGATGAGCTGTACAACAGTGTTTATAATATTATGCACTTCAACATAGCTGAGGTTTGCATCTTTTAACCCTCTCCAAGAAAACTGGGAGGTGGAGGTGTTTGATATGTGTATTTATTGATGGGGTGCTGGCAGGTCTCATGGTCATTGTGTATATTCAAACACTGCATATTGATAATTAATGTATCAGTTATACCCACCTTAGTAAGGCTGTTTAAAAAGAGCCCATGAGCCTGCAGAGAGAGGAGGGGACACAGGAAGATTCAGAGAGCTGTAGGGGGAAACCCAAGACCCTTGAGAGATGTTATTTTCTCTGCTTTCTGATTCCTACCCTGCAGTAAGTTCATTCTGGGGAGGCCACTTGGATCACCAGCCCCGTGTCTCCAGCACCACATCTCCAAATAAGAGTGTGTGGGGTCATGCTCTCCCTTAGCTTTTTTGCTCAGGGTTAATGAAAGCTCTATCACTTGAGCCACAGCTGTTTCTGGCTTTTTGCTCGTTAATTGGAAATAGGAGTCTTTCAGACTTTCTTTTCTTGTGCTGGCTTCGAGCCAGGATCCATCCTCAAATCTCAGCCTTCTGAATAGCTAGGATTAGACATGAGCCACCAGCACTTTGACACAGTCTTTCAGAGTAAACCAGTGGTTCTGTACTCCAGTTTTGGGAGCATATGTTTGGGCCCAACACTATCAGAACCAGTGCCCCAGACACACTGCTTTGGCTCTCTGCAAATGTCTGGCCAGCAGATTTTATCCACTTGTTCAAGAAATTCTTGCTGCTGTCCTGCTCTGTGCTTAACTGTGGTTTCAACTCTGGGATAACCAGATGGGTAACTAGGAATTATCTGTTGTTTGTTTTTGTCCACCATGGAGCTTGAACTCTGGGCCTGGGTGCTTTCCCTGTGCTCTTCAGCTCAAAGTGAGTGCTCTACCACAGTGCCACTTCCCGTTTTCTAGTGGTTTATTGGAGATGAGTCTCACAGAGTTTTCCTGCCTAGCCTGGCTTGAAACTGCCATCCTCAGAACTCAGCCTCCTGAGTAGCTAGGATTACAGGCGTGAGCCACCAGTGCCCAGCAAAAACTGGGTCTGATTTTTTAAACAGGGTCTTGCTGTTTTAAGTCTTGCTGGCCTGAACTCTTGCTCCTGCTGCCTCAGCCTCTGGACAACTGGGATTATAGGTGTGTATCATGATGCCCAATCCCACCTGATTTTTAGTCCCTTTGTTCCTCCTTCCCACACACAAAATAATGGTTTCTCTTTGTTTCTAGTGCTGGAGTACTCAAGTCTCATACTTGGAAAGTGGGTGCTGTGCCGTATGAGCCACATCTCCAGCCCCTTTTTCCATTGGTTAATTCTGAAGTAAGGTCTTGGTTTCTGCTTGGCTGTGATCCTCCTACTTAGGCTTCCCTGTGTCACTGAGGATGTCAGGCCCGTGCTACTGCACTCAGTCATTGACATGAAGTTTCAACTTTCCTGCCCTGGCTGACAAAACCATAATCCTCCGTCCCTGCTTTCCAAGTAGCTAAGATTATAGACTGAGCTATTGGGCCACCTTCACTATCTCCTTATTCATACCCTCCTCATTCTCAGGTCTTAGCCCCTTCTCCTCCTGGTGCCCAGTAATCCTTTTTATTCATGTCTTTGATTCTGCCCAGTCATTTTGCTTGCCACTTTCCCACATTTCATTCTGTGTGTGGTCAGGACACACACGCAGATGCCAACAGGTCAGGTGTATTGGTCTGGCTATGCAAAGTCTTGCAAGGCTGGAGTATGAGTTTTGGCTATATGTTCATGTTCCTGGGCCTCAGTTTCCCCAACTGTAACAGCAGCATGCCTCCAGTGGGTTCTTAAGAGGAAAGCTCCAGTAAGTAGCCTTCCCCTCAACCAGCCATTCATCCTCCAAATCTGCTAAAATGAATCCCACATCAATATTGCAATATGACATTTCCATTTACTTTGGATTATATGCCATTATAAATATTAATAAGACTTAAAAAGGACACCTTTGGGAAGGCCAGACGAAAAGTACAAAAATTTTGGGTGAGGCTGCAGTTTGAGGACACTTTCTGCAGCCGTCACATGGTAGCAAAACAGTTAAGCAGTGCACGAGAGTCTGCGTCGACGACAGCCAGAGTCCATGCATTGGGAGGTTCACTTGGTTTGAGACGGAACAAAGGGCAGGACATGCACGGCCCGAGCTCGGCGGGCCGGGGAGGTGCAGTTCCTCCCTCTCGCCACTAGAGGTCAGGTGGTTACTGCCTCAGGGTTGGAAGACAGGCCCATCCCGGATGGGCTAGTGGTAGCGGTGGGCGGGGCAGAGACCTAGTTACTGACACCTGACTTTGGAATAATTCTGGACTTTTGTTTTTAGGGGGGAAAAAAAGCGTTGTGTGAGTAATGGGCCCAAGGAAAGATGCCCTTCAAAAGCAGAGCCGATTCTGCAGCTTCTCAAAGCACTCTTCTTAAATGCAATGTGCACAAGGCCTAGAATAGTCTCAGGACCCAAGGGAAGATTTTGCCATTCCTAGTGGCTCCTGCTGAGCTCCCCATTTTACACCTGAGCAAGGTAGTCAGAAGACAGCGCCCATTCTGTCTTATGGCCAACAGGGATCATTTTCATGGCCAAGTCCACTCCTGTACAGCCTGGGGTAGTAGAAAGCCCTGAATTGGGTACTGGGAATCCTGCTTTCTTGGCTCAGCTGGACCCCATGTGCCCCAAGTGTCTTATAAGAAAGTCATCCTAGATAGGGTTCACACCCTTCTAGTGGGGCCATTTTGCACTTCCTTGTCTGGATTGGCTGCCCAGAACATGAAGCGGAGGATGTATCCAGCACTCACCCATACACAGGGTCCCTTAAATATAGGCCACCACACAGTCCCCATTCTGGCTATGAGCATAGAAGAGGGCCTTTGCCTCAAGCTCCTTGACCACAGAACAAACCTGAAGTGGCAGGATGGTATCAGAGCCAATTAGGAGACAAGACCCCATATCTCCAGAATTTAACAGACCACACTCAGTACCCAGTACCCCAGGAGGTAAGGACCTGCAAAGTCCTCACCAAAGGGTTTGAGACCTGGTTTGCCTCTCCCAGCTGTGTGGCTTTGGCCAACTATCACACTTTCTCCCACCTACCCAAGAGTTGTGAAGACAGTGTCTGCTGCCCCCCCAAACACAGGGCAAAACTTTCCTCAGGATGGGAAACCCATCTCCACGCACAGCAAGAGTGCCAGGGGAGGGGGGGACTGGAGATGTTTTCCCTGCCAACTAGAAAAGGGATGAGAATGATTTGGGATTCAAGCTGTCATCCCAGAGGCCTTGGATCCTGGTACCAGCTATGCTAGGGCCTTGGGTTGCCCTCCTCAGGACGTCTGGGCTCAGTCAGACAAGAATGGATTGAAACTCCTTGGTTCTGCATTTGTTTATCCAATCAATGTTCCTGAAGGTTGGGGCTTTGGATCCTACAATTGAGATCCTCTCAAACTCTTCCTGGAGAGACTGACTGGCGTGGTAGGGTCTCTTTTTTCCTAGTTCCTAGGCAGCTCTACAGGCCTTCTGGAAACAAGATCCTCCTGGACTGCCACTTGATACTCCTGAAAAGGGCATCGTGGCCACCTTAGAACAGAATGTCCAGGGTAGCCATGAAGGGGCCTGACACCAGCTTGAGCCCAGAGGGATGGGAAAGGGGCATGGAGGAATGTTTTCTTCGGTCGAAAGAAACCTCTTCTTGTAGCTGAGGACAACTTAGCAAGGTCTCCTCAGGAGGACAAAGGGACCAGAACGGGAAAGCAAGAGTCTGAGCATGGAACTTTGCATTCCTCCCCCTCCCCAGGAATGCCGCTCTCTACAGTGACTCCAAGACTACACACCTTCCTACTCCCATTCTTTTCCTCCCTTCCAAACCTCTAGGCCCTGCTCCCACTGCCTGGACTGTCGTCTTCTTTGCCTAGAACTTTGATCGTCCTTCAAGGCCTAGCTAAGCACGGCCTCCTCCAGGAAGCCTTCCCTACTTTCCTGCAAGCCACAGTAACACCACTTGCAGGGGCCAGCTGTTCTGGTGGTCTTCGCCCCCCTGTTGTAGAGGCCAGCATTCGGCTCCCTGCTGAGATGGACGGCTCACTTCTCCTCCCTGGGACTCGCAGACTCCTGTCCGCTGGAGCCTTCGGAGCTGCGCTATACTTGGCTCACTGGCTCTCCACCTGCCCGCAGCACAAGGGGAATGGATGTGGCGGAACGCCGCTTTTGCCTTCGCCTTTAGCGTCCCGTCTTGTGCCTCCCCACCCTCCCCGCTCTGCTCTCTTTGGCTCCACCAGAGCATGGAGCTCAGCCAGTCCCAGGCAGTGCTGAGGCCTCTTCCTGCCACTGGCCATCCTGGACCCCCCGGGCTCTGGCGTCCCTGTCCCCCTCCCTTTCTGAGTGGCTGGGCACTGGGTTCTCCAAGCCGTGGAGCTGCAGTGGCTCTGTGTCCGAGCAGGTATTCTGAAGGTTGCCCAGTGTTGGGGCCACAGCCCTTGGTGGCAGCTGAGGAAGCCCAGGGCCTGGCCTGTGCGGCCGGGTGGCAGGGTGGGCAGTCAGTCACTGAGCACTGCCCCGGGGAGTTCGTTGGTGAGTGTGTGCCAGCGCTCGATCCTCTTGTCCTTGTTCTTCAGGCAGTCGAACCAGTGCTTCAGGCGTTCGCCCTTGGCATTGATGCCCAGGACCACACCGCCTGCAGGAGGGGCCAGAGGGAGGGCCGGGGGCCTTCGTGACCAGAGGCCCTGGGAGGTTCTTCCTCCCAGAGTCTGTACCAGGAGCGGGCTCTCCCCTGCCCACCAGGCTCTGTGAATGCACAGGCCTGGCTTTCAGCTGTACTCTGTCTCCCCATCCCCCCATGTCAGAGCCCCAGGTCCTGCTCTTTCTCCACTAGGATGGGGACAGTGCTGGGAAAGGGGGCATGGTAGGTGTTAGGGGCTGAGGAATGGGGATCGGAAAAGGGAAAGAAGACCTGGTGTACTGGCTCATATCTGTAATTTCAGATACTTGGAAGGCATAGATTGGGAGAATCACAACTTGAGGCCAGCAAGGCAAAATGCAAGGCCCCATTCCAGTAAGCCAAGTATGATGGTACACTTCTGTAATCCCAGCTGTTTGAGAGGATCGTGAGCTGAGGCCGCTCAGGGCCTGGAGCAAAACGTGTTAGAGGCATGGCTTGAATGCTAAAGCACCTGCCTAGCAAGTGCCAGGCCCCGAGTTCAAATCCTAGTAGTAAAGGTGGGAGAAGAGGAGAGAAAGGGTAGGGCCGTGGCAGGCTTACTGTGTCACAGCCACTAGGGGCCACATGGGCTCAAGAGTCCAGCCCCAGGATTTGACCATCAGATCACCTCACTCTCAGACGCCACTCTATGGATCTGTCACTTGTCACATGGGACAGGCTGGGACAATATCTGAAACACCTTACACTGGGGACAGATGGTCCATAGCCCCAGGCTTCCCCAGAGACCAGCAAGGAGGGGCCAAATCCATTCCCACTGTCCCCTTACCGATGAAATCATTGGACTTTCCAATGTCATAATCCCAAACTGTGACCTCCAGGGTCTTCTTGGCCAGATCACCATGCTTGATCTCATAGCAGAACTCCTGCTGGGCAGAGGGGAGTGTTAGGGCAGGGCCACATGGGGGGGAGGGGTGTGCAGTATGGTGAGGGCAAGGAGGGGTGGAGGTGGGCAGGCAGCTCTCACCCAAGGTAAGAGCTCAGCCGAGGTCTCCATCTCCTCATCCACAGCCTCTGTGGCTCTGAGCGCCCTTGCTGTGTGTGTGTGGGGGGGTGTGTGTGTGGGGGGGGGGGTCCTGTTCATACCTGACTTCTGGGCTGGCTTTGCTTTGTGGAGTCTCTCCTTTGCTAGCTGTGGCGCAGGTTCCCCTTAGGATCCTTCTCCCTCTGCTCAGATCCCCGTCCTGGGAGGGTGGAGCCTCCCGGCCACTTCCCACCCATAGGGGGGCCTCGCCCCTTCTGTGAGGAGGCCTTCCTATCTGCTTTTCACCCCTTTCTTGCTACCACCAGCTCCTGCAGTGCAAACCCCCACTCCTCTAGATCCCCACCCACCCCTTGGGGAGTCCGAAGGCCCCTCAAGAAGCCGTGCCAGCCCTTCGTACCTCGTTGAACTCTGGGTTCAGGGTTTTCTTCTTCACTGCTGTCTTATGCTTGGATTTCTTGTCCACATCTGGCTTCAGGTATCTGTAATTACAACCAAAGGGCAGTCAGTGCTGGGGGAGGGCCATGGGCCACAGTGGAGCCGGCAGGACTGTGCACTGCTCCTGTCCCTGGAGACAAGGTCCCAGCCCTCAACATGGGCTTTCCCAGCACTGCGCTGTGGCTGGTGATAGTTGCTGTGGAGAAGGAAGTGGTCTTGGTGGTACCCACAGAACCTCCATCCCCCAGGAAGAGAATGGGCCTGTCTCTGGAAGTTTAATTTTCATGAAGCTCATGTTTCCAACTAGAAAAATGTTTTCAGCAGAGCTGGTCCTTTGTTCAATTGTTTCTTTTTTCTGGCTGTACTGTTGCTTGAACTCAGGGCCTTGTACTTGCTAGGCAGGCTGAGTTGAGCCTCCAGCCTTTTTTGTACTTATTGGTTTTAAGATGAAGGCTTTGCTTCCTGCCTTTGTGTGTCTGGACCTTAATCTGCCTGTTTAATTTCCTGTCCTACCTGGAATGATAGGCAGGTGCCACTATGTCCAGCTTCTTTACAGACCTGGTCTGCCTGTCTTAGATTGGAAAAATGATCCTCCCAATCTCAGACTCCCACTTAGCTTAGGACAACAGGAACATTCCACCATGCCCAGGAACAGGTTGAAAAGAGATCCCACCAACTTTTTGCCTAGGCTGGCCTTGAACTGTGATTTGCCTGTTCTCAGCCTCCCAGATGGCTTACAGGCATGAGCCACTAGCACGTTTCTTTAAATAAACAGATTAAAAGCATAGCCAGTGGGCTGGGAAGGTGGCTCAGTGGTAGAGTGCTTGCCTTGCATGCATGAGGCCCTGGATTCAATTCCTCAGTACCATATAAGCAAAAAAATCTGGAAGTGGCGCTGTGGCTCAAGTGGTAGAGCGCTAGCCTTGAGTTGAAGAGCTGAGGGACAGCGCCCAGGCCCAGAATTCAAGGACCCAGAACTGACCAGAAAAAAAAGAAAAAAGAAAAGAAAAAAAATGCATAGCCAGGCATAAGTAGCTCATGCCTATAATCCTAGCTACTCAAAAGGCTGGTATCTGAGGATTGAGGTTTGAAGTTAGTGGAGTTATGAGATTCTCATTTCCAATTAACGACCTACAGAAAAAAAAAAAAGGTGGAGCTGTGGCTCAAGTGGTAAAGCACAAGCCTTGGACAAAAAAGCCCAGGGCCAGTGCTCAGGCCCTGAGATCAAGCTCCAGGACTGGTTGTGCAGGACATGGGTGTGTGCAAGTGTGGGTGAGTGAGCACCAGGCATTGTGATGCTAGCCTGTCATACCAAGCAGTCAGAAGGCTGCACAGTGATACTAAAAAAAAAGACTTTCTTGAGGTTGGGAAGGTGGCTCAGTGGAAGAGCGCTTGCCTTGCATGCATGAGGCCCTGGGTTCGATTCCTCAGCACCATATAAGCAGAAGAAGTTGGAAGTGGCGCTGTGGCTTAGCCATGAGCTGAAGAGCTGAGGGACAGCACCTCAGAGTTCAGGCCCCATGACCAGCAAACAAAACAAAAACAAAAAAGACTTTCTTGATGAATTCACATACCACAACTTCCATCCTCAAGTTTTTCCAATGTGTTTCCCTCAAGGAGAAAAAGGCCTGGAGAGGGAGGCTAGGCTAAGCTCTGCAGCATCCACCTGGTAGACAGATGCAGACAAGCTGCCTTCTCCAGAGACTCAGAGAGATGGACTGATTTGTCCAAGCTTCCACAGTTGTTATGCTTATGGATAGAGCTTGGAAGCCATGCCCAGTGATAGCCTGGAGAACCTATTGCCCTGCCCCTGCACGGATAACTGGGTGACAGTTGCTTTACTCCTGCTGAGTGTGCTCTAGATGACAGCCACTTCAGTCTGCCACTCCCAGCTTCCTGGTGCACGGCTCAGTGTCAAAGGAATGACAGGAGTCCTAAAAGTGCCATGATAGGTCCACAGGCAGGTGGTATCAACTTCTAGCTCAAACCTTGTGGGCATCTTATTACTGTTTTCCTTTTTTTTTTTTTGCCAGTTCTGGGGTTTGAACAGTGCCTGGGCACTGTCCCTGAGCTGCTTTTGCTGAAAGCTAGTATTCTACCATTTGGGTCACAGTGCCATTTCTGGTTTTTTCTGTTTATATGGTACTGAGGACTCAAACCCAGGGCTTCATGCATGCTAGGCAAGCACTCTACCACTAAGCCACATTCCCAGCCCCTCCTTTGTCATTTAAAAATGCCATTTTATAAGTCAAATGCCAGTAGCTCATACTTGTAATCCTATCTACTCAGGAGGCTGAGATTTGAGGATTGCAGTTAGAAGCTAACCTGGGCAGGAAAAGTCTGTGACACTTTTTTCTCCAATTAAACACCAAAAGCCAGAAGCTGTTGCTCAAGTGGTGGAGTGTCAGCAATAAAGCTGAGGGACAGAGCCCAGGCCCTGAGTTCAAGCCCAGTACTGGCACACAAAACAATTTGTAACTTTCCTTACATAGACAATATTGATTTATTAAAGAGACATTAGAAAGTTATGTCAACAAAAGTGGGAGGAGAAATTAGGATATCTATTTACATCAGCTTCATACAACTGAAGGGTAAAAGTAACTCCATTTTGAGGCAGTGACCATTTATTTGTTGCTTGTTTATCTCAGCTAGCAGAGAAACACATTATGGTAATCCAAACACCTGGTTGTTTGCCTTTATAAGCCCTGCAAATCTTTAGCTCGGGGCTCTCCTCCTAGGCTCCGCTGTGTTGGAGTATAGGACAAGGCCAGAGCTGCAGCCCGTCTAAATAAAACCTTGCTTTTGCATGTTGGACCGTCTGACTCTCGTTGGTCTTCCTGGTGGGGGTCCTGCGACGTGGGCACTACACAATCAACTCAAATTGGGAACAATCTACATGCCCTTTAGTGGGGACCTGTGGCTGACCACAGCTGTGGTTTATACCCACAGCAAGAAGGAAGACTTAACACACTGACCCAAATCACCATCAAACGTGGGAACCTTAAAAGCATCCTGTTGGGCTCAAGAAGCCAGACACCAGAGTCAGCATCCATCCGAGGATGCTATGAAAATCTTGGCCAGAAACCGGTATGGCAATATAGTTGGTCTGTCCTTTACTTCTACATTAGCAGATACAATCAACAGGAGATTGGAAATATTCCAAAGATATTACATGGAACATGTGCACATATTTTTGTCCCCAAGACTCCTAATCAAGCGGGGCGGGCGGGCCCTGCTGGCTCAGGCCTGTAATCCTCACTACTCGGGAGGCTGAGATCTGAGGATCACGGATCAAAGCCAGCCCAGGCAATAAAGTCCGTGATAAACCACTAGAAAACTGGAAGTGGCTCTGTGGTGACAGAGCACCAACCTTGAGCTGAAGAGCCGAGGGACAGCGCCCAGGCCCAGAGTTCAAGCCCCACAATCCCTGCCCCCACCTCCCCCGACTCATAAGGAATCAATAGCTTCTGGCCTCTCAGGCCTCACTTCACCACTCCTTTGCTCCTTCCTCTCTTGCCAAGGTCCTGGCCTCACCTTTTCCTTCTCACCCCGCCCCCCTCCCTTCTGGCTATGCCCTGCAGGCCTTGCCAAGCCCTCGTGGCACCAACTCAGCCCTCAGGCCCCGCCCACTATCTGCTGCAGCCCCGCCCACTCTTGGCTTCGCCACGCCCCCTCCCTAGCGCGCTTGTGTTCTCTGTGCTCACCAACCAGGTCGCTGACACCGCAGCTCAAGAAGCCCTCACCCTCACCCCCACCCCTCCACCCCGTCATTCCTGGGACGGTTTTGGTCGGTTGTGGGGCTTGAACTCTGGGCCTGGGCACTGTCCCTCAGCTCTTCAGCTCAAGGCCAGCGCTCTACCACTTGAGCCACAGCGCCACTTCCGGTTTTCTAGTAGTTTATTGGAGATAAGAGTCTCACGGACTTTACTGCCTGGGCTGGCTTTGAACTGTGATCCTCAGATCTCAGCCTCCTGAGTAGCTAGGATGACAGGCGTGAGCCACCTGCGCCCTTGTGTTTACCAAAGGCTCCTGGAAGGATCCCTTTGGGTGCGGGGAGAGGGCCGAGCAGGAGGAAGCTGCCTGGTGTGGCAGAGCAAGTTGCTCCCAGTTTCATGTAAATGAAATGCAGGTGGCCACAGGAGCGAGCGCAGGGCCTTGTGGGAGGGATAACTAAGACCCCCGCTCAGGCCTGGCACATCGTGCCTATGATTTTAACTCTGTGTTTCCCATCACGCTTAGGGGCTTAGCCTGGGGAAACTGCGGCTGGGGTCACCAGGGATGGGGGTTAGGGAAGTAACTAAGAGAAAGCCCATTGAGGCTTGCTCCTCTGAGCCTGCCATCCCCAGCTCTCCTCCTGGGCCACGGTGCCTCACCAAGACCATAGCTGGTGGCCCCTTGGCTCACGCCTGTAATCCTAGTTACTCAGGAGGCTGAGATCTGAGGATTGAGGTTCAAAGCCAGCCTGGGCAGAAAAGTTCGTGAAAACCGGAGGTGGGGCTATAGTTCAAAGTGGTAGAGTGCTCGCCTTGAGCAAAAAGCCTAAGGACAGCACCCAGGACCTGAGTTCAAGTTCAAGTCCCATGACGGACACCTCACCTTCCCCCAGAAAAACCACAGCTGAGAGATGCACTGCTGGGAATCTAACCTGAACCCTCATTTCCCCTGCTTCGGAAGGAGAGGCTGTGGCTTCACACTGTATTGCTGTCTGAAGAGAAATCTAGCATCACAGGTAGAGGTGAAGACGCGAAACTGCCTCTCCAGAGACCACCACTCAAGACATGTTCTGCAGGGTTCAAGAAATTACAGGGTCGCCAGGCGCCAGTGGCTCACGCGGGTAATCCTAGCTACTCAGGAGGCTGAGATCTGAGGATTAAGGTTCAAAGCCAGCCTGGGCACAAAAGTCCGTGAAACTCATCTCCAATAAACCACCAGAAAACCGGAAGTGGCGTAGCTCAAGTGGTAGAGTGCTAGTGTTGAGCTGAATTGCTGAGGGACAGTGCCCAGGCTCAGAGTTCAAGCCCAACGACCGACAAAACAATAACAACAACAAAAAAATACAGGGTCCCTGTGTATCTGTGGGGGATTGTTGCCAGGACCCCCTCTGGATAACAAAATCGAGGGGTACTCAAACCCCTTGTATAAAAGGCTCCAGATCTACATATAGCCTAGACAATCCTTACGAATGCTTTAGGCCATCTGTAATACCATACACAGTGCAAATGCGGTGGAAGTTGTTGTTATCTGTGATCAGGGAGCACAATGCAATTACTTTTTTGAATAATATTTTTGATCCGAAGGTGGAGGAGTCCACAGATGCAGAAAATACCTAGACAAACCATGCATGCTCCTGGGGTTCGCCTTTTGGATAGCTGTGCTAATTCAGCGAGTTCTAATTTATTCATTTTAACTTCCTAATACTCTCCTGTATGCAGATGCCACATGTTATTAATCTATTTTGCTGACAAATGTCTGGCTATTACAAGGAATACTGCTATAAACAGCTTTCCACCTGCTGCAGTTTCTAGGAGATGAACCTGGCAGAATACACCTGCAGCCCTAATGCATGTTTTCAAACTTCTCCCCAAGACTGAGTCTGTGGCTTGTCTTCCCACAATTACTCCATTCTCCCTCACCTGGGTTTTTCTTTTCCCTCCTTCCCTCCCTCCCTCTCTTCCTTTCTTCCTTTCTTCCTTTTCTTTCTTTTTTTACCAGTCCTGGGGCTTGAACTCAGGGCCTGGGCTCTGTCCTGAGCTGCTTTTGCTCAAGGCTAGCACTCTTAACACTTGAGCCACAGTGACACTTCTGGCTTTTTCTGTTTATGTGGTACAAGGAATCAAACCCAGGGCTTCATGCATGCTAGGCAAGCACTCTACCAATAAGCCACATTCCCAGCTCCTCATATGGGTTTCCACTGGAAAACATTGTTTTGCTAAATTTGACTTTCAGGCCCAATTAACCATCTTTTCTTTTTTGGTGTGTGTGTGTGGGGTCTGGTCGTGGGGCCTGAACTCTGGGCCTGGGCGCTGTCCCTCAGCTCTTCAGCTCAAGGCTAGCGCTCTACCACTTGAGCCACAGCGCCACTTC